ATTGTGTACAAATATCAAACATTGTTATTCTAACATGCATCCGTAATTTTATTTATGTTCAATCCGTGTAAAATTGTTTATAGGTATATCCTTTATTCTTCGTGTCCATACAAAATTTCTATGTATATAATTTAAGGTTTGGTGTATTTTTAATTTTTTTTTTTTTTTTGTTCAAACGTTTCTAGTGTATTTGTTTTATATATACAACCGAGATTTGTTTGGTGTACATTAAAATAAAAAAATATTGCTAGTAAGAGCAGTCTTGTGTAATTTCACACACTAGGTCACTAGCGAATTAGTAGAACAAGAATGGTGTGTTTTGTAGATTGCGGTAAAATAATTCGAGTACATGTTGGCGATATCAAAGGACCATTCTCCATTAATCTAGAAAATTAAGGGGTTTAATTTTTCATAAATTTATGGCTTTTACCCATGTTGTGCTGATGTTGCGGTACCAGGATCAACCAATTAGCCTAGCTAAATTAGTACAAGGAGTCAATGATGGAGTAAAGAAAAGTTTAATAGAAGAAGGAAAAGTGTACAAAAAAGAAAGGGCTAAAAATGAACGGAAAAGACTTCTTTTGTTTTACCAATGCATGAGAAAACAGGTTAACTTGTGAAAGACTGAGAGGTTTTGAATCGATATAACAAAGGTATTAAAACTAATGTGATACTGATAAAACAAATAAGATGACCTGATGAATAGCAAAGTTTTTTAGAGGATTAACAGTGTGTTGATTAAGTCGATAGAGAAAACAAAGGAATAGGGGTAATACTTTTAGTTAGGTTTTTAGAAGTTCTAAAACATATTTTGTACTTAACGACATGCAATTAGGTTTTAACTTGCTTGAACTAGCTAGGTCACTTGATGTACCAAATTAAAGGCATCCTAACAAGTACATTTGCTTTGGACTCTTGGAGGTTTATGAAATATCATTAATCAAATAGACCAATACCGCATTTATGAGCAATTAATTGGTTGTTTCATAATTTTGCATACAGTGTTAGCATCAGAAAAATTGAGAAAGGGACTTTGATGTTGATACATTTCTAATTTTTCGAAGAAGAAACCATTCTAAATGATGTTGTAGAGAGAGGGGATTGGTATTTGGTACGGTTAATTAGGAATCTGATTCTTAAATTTTGAATCATTATGCTGATTTTTTGTTGTTGGATTGGTGATGATAAGGTTTTCATTTCGCTATACAAAGCTCATCTATAATAAGGAATGCATTGAATAAGGAAATTATTATGGCAAAAGCTGACGATTTAATTTTGAATAAGGAAATTATACAAAAACTAACTTTGAATTTATCATTTCCACTTATTTTATAAACGTTACTCCGTATTACTTATTCTCGACAAAAATTAATAAAACTACAATTAATAATATATATTCAACTCATATTAGACCAAAACTTAAAATATGTTTTGTTTTTACATTACTACGTACTCTAGCTATCTATAATTACATACCGGTATAACTTATTGGAGTAAATATTACATATTTGAAAAGTTACATTGAGATTGAGACCAACACAACACGTATATATGTTATATGTATGTTGATATGTAGCACGAGAATCTTCTAGACAAAGTACGTACCATTCGATCACTAGATGTGTATGTAATTGACATGCGATACTCATCTCCATTTTTGCCATGGCAATGAAAATATCCACGTAGAAGGCATAATGGCATGGCCAAGTAACAGCTTCATTTGCGACTCATTTCCAATAAGTGAGGGACAACCAAGTTCCAATGGACCAACCATTTGCCCATCACTTATGTTGTCCAATTAGTCATTTATTGCTACTCGTATATGCCATTTCACATATTAATTACCAACGGGTTTTCAGATTGCATATTTGATTCGCAAGAAATGTTGATCTGATCCTCATTTATCTTCACTCTACTCTTCCTCTAGCTCATCTATGCACTAATGCACTCCATTATGTTGTCTAGCTTTTGGTTAATACATTGTGTGTACTTAAATGTTTGTATTATTGGCATGTTCAAAAATGATGAATTGGCCACATACAAAAAAAATAAAAAATAAATGTGGTGCTCCTCACTTGATTTAACTTATATAACATCATAACGTCCTAATTAAGGCTGATACAATATTATTCTTATCCTACTTGAACTAATGGCAAAAGATTAGACTTAATAATATATTATTTTTTTTATTTAAAAAAGGGAATAAAAGAAATACTCACATTTATATATTGGCTAATTGACCGATCAAGAGTAAGAAAATTGAGTGATACAATAGCTTGGTATAATTTATTAATAGAATAATTTAATTTACACTTTATTTATCGTATATAATTGGTCTGTGAATTACATCGTGATAAAATAGCCAGTTTTGAATTACCGGCTTCTTCTGATTGTAGTACGAGTATATAAATTCTCTCTCACCCCACTTGTAGACGTTCTAATTAGGAATCGTTATTTTAATGAATTTCATTAGGAATATACACTTTAATTATATTACCACTATTTTAAGACTATAAAATTATTAAAGGCGCAATCGACAATAATACATATTTTCCTTTCACTCAAAAACAAAAATCAAGCTTATAATTATTTCACATTTATATCTTGTTAAATTAAACTGTACCGATTGTTTGCATAACTGTGCAATTGTATACAAAGGTGGAGCTTATACGTACGTAGGTTAGAGCCCCGTCATAAACAAAACCGTCACTCTGTCAATTACTGTAAAATATATAATGAACGTCTTTAATTGACACATAAAAAAGTTAAGCTATAATGATTGAAAACTTTAACTTAGTTCAAGAAGTAGGGTTATATATTCAATTGAAACCTAGGCCTCACATAAATTAATTTATCGAAGGTCCGCAACTCTTATGTAATTGTATGGTTAAGAAAATGGAAGAGGTGGAAATGGAATAGGAAAATGAGCCGTAAAATGAAAAAGGAACAAAAAGTCCGAGAGTAACGTAGCCGGGTATCCCTAACTTTGTCTTCACTCAATTTCTCCTTCATTCGTAATATCTTGTTCCCTTTATATTACGTACTTTGTATCTAACTCCCATTTTACTCCCTTTTCTTTGTCTTCCTCTTAGACACACTCCCTTCGAGATTTACCTCCAACCAATATTTTCCTTATTCACTACTTACTTCACATTTTTTTATTATTATGTTTAATTTTCAATCTTTTAATATTAATTCTTATGTCATCATTCATTACATCATATTTTACTTTATAATAATGAAGATTAGTTTTACTTATAGTAGTAGCATAGGTTGAGTTGGAGATTTATGATGCAATCTATTATTGTCAATTGTTGTTACGAATATTAGATACAAAGTGTTATTGATTCTGTGCTTAGTTATATCAATGGCTAGATCTTGCTAGATTTGTGTAAGCACATGTTTTTCAATGACAGAAAAGAATAATAACGGTCTAAATTGTACATTTGATCTTGTGTTCAATAAAAAAGGAACAATTAAAGATAAAAACAAATATGAAGTAAAGCTATTAATTAATATTTTGTCATGCAATTTCTTCGTCTTTTTTATATGAAAGCATGAAACATTTCGAGATTTACACTATACATATATATTCACTATTCTCTTTATTTTTGGTAATTTAATTTCAAGGAAAAACAAAATCAAGTGCAATTTTATTAGATTTGTTTCCATTTATATCTTCAAAATACCATTTGTTCATTAATAAATAAATATATCAATGATTGAAATGAGAGTGCATCAACTAAGGCTCTGTTTTGTTCACCTTACTTTTACTTATTTCACGCCATGTCTGAAAAGTTCATATCAAATATTAAGTTCATACAAAACAAGTTCTGATAAGGGTTACTCAAGTTATAATTACAACTAATTAAAATAAATTTTAATAAGGTTTGATAAGTTAAGTTCGAATAAGTTCATACAATACGAAAGTTCATATGATTTCAAATAAGTGAAATCAGGTAATTTAAATATAACACCTTCTAAAAATCCTAAATGAGGTGAAATCAAATGAATAAAACACATCTTTAAATAAACAAAGAAACTACATGTGTATTACAGTAATCATTCTCATTTCCCAATATGTCTTACGAAGTATATCTACCTATAAAAGGGAACAAGTTTAATGTTAAACAATGTACAAACTTATACCTCCACAATAATTAAATTGGATGGTATAATAAGTGTGGCCTTACCACATATTGTTCATTGTTGATTATTATTTTATTTTTACCTTGTCGGGCTCTAACCCCTCTGTAGCAAAAATAAAATAAAATAAACAAAATAAAATTCAAGATGTTTAAAAAATGTTGTTAGGTTATTGTGTAGATGAATCATCTATCCTCGTATAATATTGATGAGTCGTCTACCCTCGTACAATACAAAGTCTTACGGATATTAATGTATTATTACTCTGTATTGTTTTATATTCGCTTTCAGATATGGAGAGAGTAGCCTATCATTTTATGCACGCATCATGTAGATTATAAATAATTTAAAGCAACATAACTATTCAATCTACTGAACAAAAATTTAAACCAATTACTTAATTTTCCAATTAATCAATCTATTTTTGTAGCTAATTAAGAGAATTACAATTTTTATTTTAAAATAATTGAACGTAAATTAATTTACATATTTTGTACAAAAGTTGCAATATTTGAATGAAACAACACAGAGGGTGTTCATCAGGATTTAAATGAAGCAATGGTCATATGAAATCTTGTTAGATCCGCCTTAATGTGTATTTTATCAATATACTCGTATAATTTTTACATATGCATAACTAAAGATATTAACAGTTAAAGTTATATATTAATGAACACAAAAAACAAAAATGTTCTTGCATTTGTAATTTACAACATAATCAGATGAACAAACGTAGCCTTAATGTTATAGTAAATTTGCGGTCGAAAATGAATGGTGTTCGTAGATATCGAAATTTGGAGTTTAAGGTGATTTGGGGGGAGGGGGCACCCATGGGTTGGCTCTGTTGATTTTACGTTTACCTTAAAGGTCTTTAGTGGACAACAAATAGACCGTTGCAGGCCATTACAATTTACATAGATTCAGCCTTTATGGTACGGATGCTTAGAGCAGACATAGTTATAGATACCAGTCTTGAGTAAACGGTGGATCATATCCACCAAATTAATAAGGCTGTTGCTTGGTGTAGCATCCACAAGTTGCAACACCAAACTAAATTTTAGTTTATCGTCCTTTAATAATATTCCGTATAATTTAGTAACGTCTAATTCATGTTCCAAAAAAAAAAAAAGAGTGAGGAAAAGTATCCCAAAAAAAAAAAAAAGAAAAGGAGAGAGATACTTCTTGTTACTCCCCTATATAAAGACTCCCCTCCACACTCTCCTTTCCTACACGGCCATCAAAAAGCAATTCTAAAAAAACTTTCTCCTTCTCCTGTCTCCTTCCTTCTTCAAACAAACACCATTGACTCAACAAAAACCTAAAATGGAGGTTTTAACAATGCTTAAATTCTGGAAATCAAACACTTCTAAAGTCGCCGCCGGAACCACCGCTAGCGACGGCGATAGCGCTGAAACAATCGCCGATTCCACCATTTCCGACCATCTCACCGAGCAAAGCGACGACGATGACGACGACTCTTTCTTCGAGTTAGAGCTCACTTTACCTTCTTCCGACTCCAAATTTTCTCTTTCCACTCCTTGCTCCAAAGATTCATCAGAAAACTTCTATAATTGTGTGGAAGAGAAGGAATCTGAGAAGAAAATTAAGTCTAAACCTCAATCTCCGATTTCGATTCTTCGCTCAGCTTCTCCGAAGCTTCGAGTGTTTATGTTTGGAAAATTCAATAAGAAATCGAAACGTGTTGAGGATGTGTTCGAAACGGAGAGTGTTTCGTCGATTTCGTCTCCAAAACGAAGCAATTCAAGCTTATTAACTGTGAAATTCCGAATTGAAGACGGTTCAATCGTTCCGAAGTTCACTCGGAGTGGAAGCAACAACTCAAGCGTTTCCAGCAGTCCGAAGATTGAGAAACAGAGCTTAGAAACGTCGAAACGTTTCTCAAAAGACGTCGTTCAAAAATACCTGAATCTCATTAAGCCGAAAACCTCTAAAAAGGTTAGCGACGCCGAGAAATTCGTCGCTTCTCCGACCAGACCGTCGACAACAACGCCGATGCTGTTGATTAAAAAGGATAAAGAAGAAAAGCAAACCAGTCGATTCAAAGCAAAGATCAAGCATCTAGGAAAGAGTAAATCATCTTCAGCGATGATCGGAGTTCCATCGACGGCGAGTTTTCCGGCGAAAAACGACCATCCTTGTGACGGCATTGAAGGCGCTATTCAACACTGCAAACGATCTCTCACCACTTCCAAAGGTAGGATAGTTTTAAAATTTTAATGTAATTTTGAAAATACAATTGTTCATAATATTAATTAAGATTAATTAAATGTAATTATAGTGAGTAATTTGAATTTGAAACTCATGGAATTTGTTAATAATATTGCAGGACATTCGTCGTTATCGAGATGTAGCAGTGATCCATCACATGAGAAGTCAATTCAAGTGTCAGAAAAAATCTGAAGAACAAAAAAAAAAGCTGATAAAATGATTAGATTAGTGGTGATGCCTGTAAACTTTTGTTTGTTTGTTTGTTTGGTTTGAGAGTGAGAAAGAGGCGGGAAAATCTTTCTCCCAAAACTAATTAATTAATTAGGGTTTAAAGAAAATGATAATTAGGAAGTATAGTTTGGTGAATTATCTCTGTATTTGAGGGAGAAATTTACAAGGTTTTGTTTGGTGAGATTAGAGATTAGAAGAGTAGTTTGTTAGGAGTGATGATGATGATGACCAGTGGATGAGTGACGAGTGAGCTTAGGTCACTTGAGTTGTCTTGTAAAGCTTTTAACTCTGTTTTGTTAATGATGATGATAATGAGCTTTTGTATATACGAGTCACTGTTTTTTTGTTTCGGAAATGGAGCGTCAACTATTCTTTCAAGTCCGTGATCTAGCATATGACTTATTAATGAGACATACAATGCCAATTAAAAATTTATGGAGTACCTATTACGAGTACTTTTAACGTGTAAATATTTTGAAATTATATGTTTGAGAATTTGAGATGTACTTAACATACAAAATCCATATTAAATGGTGCAACAAATGGTCATGTGGACTATGCAATGTTATGGAGTACTGCATGCTTTTAGGTTTTAGCAATGAATACTACTAAATCACAAATTATAATCAAAGAATGTGAATAATACTAATGTTAAAATGTATTATCGAGTAATAAAAAATATGAAATAAATGTATATAGGGAGTAAAAGGGAAGAAAGTATAGATAAAAATAATTCATGAGTTCATGACCACTAGTAGTGATAAAAAGTGGGAGCAACAAACGAATTACCACAAATTGGCGAGCAGGGCATTAGTTATGCATTTGATGTTTTGATTTTACGAATTTTAACTTTAATTTCGAAGTAGCACAAAGTTGAAAATTCAGCCACATTGTGTAAATAAATATAAGTTGTATTACAATTATCTCCAGTCTTCTTATTATACAGTACATATCTAAAAGCTCCATGATTATAATACAAGGGTACTACTATTCGATTGATATAAATTACAAATGAGGGTCAATTGAGTTTATAAATAGTGTCATGATTTATAGTGTAATCATTCTCTTGAAATAGTATGTGCTAGATAATGGTTTCTTTCTCTTATTTGTGCAATTAATATTCCATTAATTTAAATGTACAATAATTATATAAAGAGGGGAAATCCCCCAAGTCTTATTACTCGTAATTCTTTATTGAGCATATATGCCTAAAAACGCTTTAAGGAAAAAGCAAATTTTAATTTTTTTTGGCATGAAAAACAAAAGAAGAGAAAGGGTAAAAGAAAAAGAAAAAGGAAAAGAAAAAATAAAAATAAAGAAACTTGGTCAATCTTTTGGTTGGAAACCCACTTTCTAAAGCTCAAAACTCACTCGTTCCAACTAACATCAAATCCTTATTTTTTTTTTCCGTAAAAATAAATTAAGAAAAAAAAAAGGATAAAATTCTTATTCTTTTCTCTTCCTTTTACCTTTTCTTTTCCTCCACCAGACCACCATTTATACTTAATTACTGTACTTATATTTTGATTGATAAGTTGTTTTTTTTTTTCTTCGTCAAATTGGGGGTAAAACAACGAAAAAGAAAACATAAAGAGAAGAGAAAGAATAAATTGAATTTGTTAAAAGTCATATAAGACGACCCTGTACTCCTGCAGCCTGCTCATGGTCATATTACTCATATACAAGTACATACTACATAGGCTAGGCACTTAGCTAGCCCTGAACTTTATGATGTAATTAAATTAACTCACTCTATTAATACCGTTATTGTATATTTGTAGTCACGTTATGCATTAGCTTCCATTCTTGCACGATTTGTGAATTCAATTTGTTCCGATGGATATTAAAAAATTATTCCAATATTCAATTTTGTTTTTCAGTTAATGTGTTTATACTCTGAGAGATTTCCCAAAATAATGTAATAACATAAACTAATTCCTTATATTCATTGGTTTAAAAATTATTTTTCACGATACCGTCCACGCAGGTTCGGTATTTGCAAGTATAAAACCGCTAACATTGTTGGCGGTTTTAACTAATATAAAACCTCTATTGGTATTAGAGGTTCTATGCATAGAACCTCTAATGGTATTAGCGGTTCTTTATGTAGAACCGCTTATGCCATTAACGATTCAATATAATTTGGCTGTGAAAGTTAAAGTAAACGAGCCTTCTACTTAGAATCGCTAATGGTATTAGAGGTTTTATGCATAGAACTGCTAACATTGTTAGCGGTTTTATACTGTAAAACTCCAAACCTAGGAACCGATCCTACGTGGATGGTATTGTAGGAAATAGTTTTGAAACCGACTCATATAAGGAATCAATTTGTATTTTATCATTATTCAGGGAAATCACTCTTACAGTTTTGACACTGTATTTACAAATATTTTAACTAGCTTTATTTATAACCAAATTAACATATACTCGTAGTTACATGAGATATTGATTAATTGTATATAAAAGAAAATATATTATTAATAACTTTTTATAATATTTTTTTGTGTTGATAATTAAGAATATTAATCATTAAAAGCTGTACATGGACAAAAATATACTCCTGCTCCGTAAAGAAAATATATACTCCGTACTTCGTATTTAACAAGACAATTACTTGTAAAGTACTGTAGATTGAAATGAGTTAACGGTAACATTATTTAGGCCTTGTTTAGTTGACATAGTGAAATGGAGGAGAAATTCATGGAAATTGATAAAATGAGTAGTTGTTTGGTTGACATAAAAAAATAAAAATGGAGAAAGTAGTATTTCATGCGAATTTGAACTTGCCACAAAACATGGAAAATAAATTACCTAGTCCTCCTAGGTAAACCAAAATTCATGGGAATTTCCATTTCCCTTATTGCGACCAAACACATTTTATAAATTCCTACAAATTTCATTAAGGAATTAACTTCTCATGGAATATAAATTCCTATGAAAATTAAATTCCCACAACAACCAAACAACACCTTAGTAAGAGTAGCATGAAAAAAAAAAAAAAAATTACAAATGCGGTAAAATGAAGGTGAGCAGTGGCGGTCAAAGGAGTATTGTAGGATGTCAGAACTTCTGAAGATAGAGAAGAGAAACAGAGTCATGCTGATTGCTAATGGCGTGTAAAGCACGTAATAGGCGTTCGTCCCTCTGTGTAATTTCCTGCGCCTACTATACGTACTGCCTGCATGCCTACAGCCTACTTAGCTAACTTCATCCTCTATCATCACTCCTATGATGCCAATTTTATCACTCAGCCCCCGCCCCCCCCCCCTCTAATTTTCAAAAATTAAAAAAATTGATATTGACACGTTAATAATTGGTATTGGTACCGCTAACCTATTTATATGAAAGGATTATATGAAATTGTGTTCTCACAATGATTTTACATTCTAATTGTACCTTCGTTTCATATTATTTGTAACGAACGATTTGATATAAATTAGAGATGAAAAATGTCTAATCGTTATAAATAATATAAAACGGAACTAATAATACTTCATAACTTTTTGGTATGCTAAAATCATTTTCTCCATTTATCTTATCCTTTTTTTTTAACTCCTTTTACAATGATTTAATTTTTTGAAAAATTACTCTAATTTCATCTTATGGTACTTGTATTAGAGTTAATTTGAATACTTGCTTCCTCCATTACTAAGATATGAAAACGTTATTACGGAGTAGTAGCTTTTAAAACGCGATGAAGCATAAACTTGTTAACTATTATGGAGTACCTTAAAGTGTGATAAACATGAATATTAATGCCAAAGTAAATTTGTCTCCTAAGATTTTATCATAAGTAACATGAATATTAATGAATGAACATGAACATTAGTGAATTTATTTTATACTCGTACTCCGTAATTCCGTATATTGAGAATTTGGAGCATGTGAGGGTAGAGAGAAGCAAGTGGATCATAAGATTAAAAAAACAAAAGATAAAAAAAGAAAGAAAAGGATTTTATACTCTAACATGACCAAAAGAGAGTAGTAGTGTGTCAAAATTGACAAAGATTACAAAACGGGAAAGTTGTAAAGTGAATCTGAAATTTAAAATGGTCGGAGTACTTTATATCATACATATTTCATACCTTAATTAAGCTCCTAGATTTAAAGGAAGTCAGTGATAGAATAAAAGCTTATGAAAATTTGATGGTAGAAGCCTGTTGTGTTAAGTGCCCATGAAATTCAATCAATGTATATTATTCCTTTCGTTTTTTTAATAAGTACATCACTAGCACACATGTCAAATAACTTTTACTATCGAAATCCTTTGTTATCTATTAGTAAAAGAAAATAAAAAGTTGATATTATTAATATATGAGTTGAGACCAAGGCCTTGTTTAATTCAACTTATTTTTACTTATTTCAGAAAAAATAAGTTCAGATTAGAAATAATAAGTTCAGATCATACCATCATTTTATGTGCAATTTTTTATCGCTAAATATCATTAATTTCGTAACGAAAAAAATTATGAAAATTACATATCAATAAAATACACATTATTACGAATCTAACAAGATCCCACTTGATATATTTTTTCCTTACAGATTATCGTACACTTAAGGTCAAAGTTTGATCAAATCAGACAATAAGATCATATCAGACTAGATCAAATCAGATTAAACCAGGCCAGATGAGATCAGATCAGACCAGATCAGATCAGATCAGATCAGTTTAGACCAGATCAGATAAGTTCATATAAGCAAAAATAAGGTGAATTAAACGGGGCCTAATTCTATAATATTTTACATAATCAAGATTAATTACATTTATATATTAATCATACTTTATAGAGGTGTTAATTCAGGAATCGGAGTCGGCTCTATTTTAAAGTTGAGCCATGCTAAATTATTGTATCCATACGAGTCTAAAACTAAATCGGGTCTTTTCGGTTCAGATCGAGTTGGGTCAGTTTTTTGACACATCTAATATTTTGTACTCTGTATTATGTAGTCAAAGTTAGTATATGAATAACACAAAAGTCAAAGTATTGTACACTCTTTCATTTTTTTTAAGAGACCCGTTAGTCCATTGAGTTTTTTTGCTCTAATCACCTTACCTGCTTTGACCAGTGTTAGTGATTTATACGGAGAACATAAGGATTTGCGGAAACTTATTAGGATCGTTTCGATGAATTATTTTTGCATCGACATACGTACCCAATTAAAATAAATCACTTGAATAAAACCAGAGGGAGTACTCCATATTAAAAGCAGAGGAGTATACAACACCTATTTTGTGTCAGTGATGATGAGATCACTTTTGCAATCTTAAGCTTAAACATAGCTCCTAATTAAAATACTGAACACAAAATTGAGAGCCAGAGCAAGTAA